GTTGGTTTTAATAAAATAGTACTTGATGTAATATAACAGAACTTTAAATTACATACATTTTTCCCACCAATAACAAAAAAGATGATATATATATATATATATATATATATATATATATATATATATATATATATATATAAGGCATTCATAGATATGCAACCCTTGAAGATGATCTGAGAAGAGATTGAAAGTACTTGAAAAGTAAAAATTATTTGAAAAAAAAATTTGCAATTTTTCAATTTTTCTTCATCAATCTTCGTGAACTTAAAATGATTAAAATTCAAATAAATAAACATAATACGACTAAATTATTTATTCAAACCACCAAACATGCTTGAATATGAATATATATATATATATATATATATATATATATAATTAACCCTGGAGAGAAAAGTTCTTTTTTATTCTTATATCTCCAAGATAAACCTGACGATGAATTACCAATATTTTTGATGATTGTTATTTTTGTGGAAGTTACAATCTATTAAGAAAAAAAAATCAATGAATCTTCTTTTACACTTTGACAGGACTGTCACCAGAGTGTTTTGATTGGGAGGGGGCCTTTATTTCATGGTGTTTGGCAAAAGTAATGATTTGCATACTAAAATTAGTTCACATAATCTTTCCTAGACTTCACACTTCCTTTATTCATACTGTTGTTCACTCAGTATAAGCATCAGGATCTTCTCCAGATAGCATGTTATTGAATAAGGTTGTTGAAAGGCTGTTGAACGGTTGACCTGAAATTTGTAGCCGCTACGACTGTAGTGATCCGGGAAGCATCTTCTCAGAAGTAAGTTCCACAAAGTAGCAGTTCTTTAGAAGAAATTGTCCAAATGTAACTTCCTCCTTATCAATGGAATACGAAGGAACTTAGGATGACTTGGCTCTGTATACACGACATGGTGTGTCTTAGATGTAGAGGCTTGAATTGATGGAACTAATTCGTAGATCGTCAAAAAAGTTTTCAATGGATATAGCAATATAGAGTCAGGATAGGTTTACAATGTTTTGTCTGTGGAAAAGTGTTGTGGGATGGAAAATAATTAAGTAAGGCCACGTAAACTCTTTTGAACCGGGCTAAAAGAGGATTGAGTAGTTCCAGCCCATATATCGTAGTAATGTTCCATTTTTGGTGTGAAGTGTCTCCTGTCAAGATTCAGATATTTTCTGAAGTGGTATAAGAAACCAACCATTTCTCCTGCGTTTTTAGCGATGGATCATGTTTATGAATTCACTTAAAATCCCCATCGACGTTCAAAAGCAAGTAGCTTCACTTAGAGTACAAGCGTTCATCATAACAGGAGAAAATTCAGGGTCTGGTTGAAGGTGAACCGTGGTGAGTTTGGTTTAGAGAACCTCAAAAATCCACCACACACACACACACATACACACACACATAAAATAAATAATAAACAAAAATAGATAGATAGATAGATAATGAACAAAAATAGATAGATGGATAATGAACAAAAATAGATAGATAGATAATGAACAAAAATAGATAATGAACAAAAATAGATAGATAGATAGATAGATAGATAGATAGATAGATAGATAGATAATGGACAAAAATAGATAGATCGATGGATAGACAGATAATGATCAAAAATAGATATATCGATGGATAGATAGATAATGAACAAAAATAGATAGCTGGATAGATAGATAATGAACAAAAATAGATAAATGGATGGATAGATAATGAACAAAAATAGATAGATAGATAGATAGATAGATAGATAGATAGATAGATAGATAATGGACAAAATAGATAGATGGATAGATAGATAATGAACAAAAATAGATAGATAATGAACAAAAATAGATAGATAGATGGATAGATAATGAACAAAAATAGATAGATAGATAGATAGATAGATAGATAGATAGATAGATAGATAATGGACAAAATAGATAGATGGATAGATAGATAATGAACAAAAATAGATAGATAATGAACAAAAATAGATAAATGGATGGATAGATAATGAACAAAAATAGATAGATAGATAGATAGATAGATAGATAGATAGATAATGAACAAAAATAGATAGCTGGATAGATAGATAATGAACAAAAATAGATAAATGGATGGATAGATAATGAACAAAAATAGATAGATAGATAGATAGATAGATAGATAGATAGATAGATAGATAGATAATGGACAAAATAGATAGATGGATAGATAGATAATGAACAAATATAGATAGATAATGAACATAGATAATGAACATAGATAGATAATAAACAAAGATAGATAGATAGATAATAAGCAAAGATAGATAGATAGATAATGAACAAAGATCATACTTCTACAGTATTTTCTTTTTTCCACATTTTCTTTCAGTCTAACTGTAGCAGTTATTTTCTTTTAAACATAATCCAACATTTATAGAAACCAAAAAAGTATCAATATAGCCATCACCAGTTATTACATTATTTAATTTTTTTTTTCACTTAACAGAGAAAGGGATGGAAGAACAGAAAAAAAAGAAAGAAGAAATGGAGAGACAGGTCAGAGCTCCGGTACGTTTCACTTTTATTTCATTCTTGACAATTAATGCATCCAACTTGACATGATACTGCATTTTCTGTCTTCTTTGAAGTTCTGTTTGCATTTTGGTTCAGTAGCCTGCTGCATAGAGGAAAGAAAAGAAAATAATAAGACATTTTCAAAGAATTATTAGTACTTTGTTAACAGATTTATACAAGAAAGACAGGACCATAATCATTTGAAGTTGTTAAATCTTTTCTTGAACTCACTCATATACTACACCTCTTGCTGTAAAAGTTAAACTAAGAATACATACAAAAATGAAGTGGCCACGTTATATATATATATATATATATATATATATATATATATATATATATATATGGTATAAGATAACAATTGTGAAAATGTATTTTTCCAGGGTGTTTCATCTTTCGACTAAGTTTTTTACAACTGTCATCTTATACCAATGTTTCTTGTCCACAGAATTTAATTACATATATATATATATATATATATATATATATATATATATATATATATATACCCATACACATACACACACACACACACACACATATATATATATATATATATATATATATATATATATATATATATATATATATATATATAGTAATATTCGTTTGGAAAATACGTTGGATAGCACAACTTGTAGATATGTCAGAACAAATCGGTACCCGAGAAAAAAATAAAAGTAAGAACTAAAAACATCAGGACAGGCCGAAACAAATCGTCCATTGCCGTAAGTCTTTAGTCCAAAGAAAAAAAAAAACAAGCGAGTAGTAAGACTAAAATTTAGAGTGTCCAATACGCTAAGTAGAGCGGGAATAACTATCCGTTTAGGTGAAACCTATGTAGGTTTTCTTGGCTCTTTAGGATTTATTTTAGTTATATATATATATATATATATATATATATATATATATAACTAAAATAAATACTAAAAAACCAGGAAAACCTACCTTGGATTCTTCTGAAGATCTGTTTAGGTAGGTTTTCTTGGCTCTTTAGGATTTATTTTAGTATTATATATATGTATATATAATTTCATCCACGTGCAGGCCTGTTTCGCTGTATCACAGCTCATCAGTGCAGCTAGACATCCGATTACTTCATGCCAGGATCGAAACCCAACTGATTTGGCATCTACTCCTAACCTAACTTCAAGCATATATGGTTTCTGCTTACGCTGCATAAAAAAAAATTATATCTAACAAAAGTGTTATCATAAGGATGCGTGTTATTTTTTAAAAATGTCTTTTCTCACCATTGATCAAAGAGGGATTGTCAAAAATTGAAATTTTTTACACTATATTTTCCATTTACCACAGGAATATCAAAATTCAGTTTAGATCTGTGATGACGAACAGTACACTATAATATATATATATATATATATATATATATATATATATAATTTTAAGATATACTATATTGGTGTGTAAAATTGCTCACTATCAGAGATAGAGCATATGTAATTATATAAGTGAATACTAAGGTCAACACAAAGCGGCAACAGTCTGTTTCATGCTTGAACACAATCTTCAGGCCATGTGTGTTGTGTTTTAGACTATTTATATATGCTGGTCATTGGTGCATTATGGGTAGTAAAAGCTCGTGTATTATCCTGACAGTTATTTGGTGTGGTTAATGGTTAGAAGCTATTGATTAGAAATAATAGCAGACCCGAGAGTGATTATTTGTTAGCTATATAAAAAAGGAACAGTTGAAATGTTTGAAATTCACAGAAACACATATACATGCTCACAGACAGCTTAACTCCCTGAAGATGATCTCAGATGAAATGAAAAGTACTTGGTAAAATAAAAACTATTTGAAAGAGAATTTTGGTATTTTTCTTACTCAGTTTTCTAAGTCTACTAACAAGTTAATCCGTGAACTTGAAAGGTTCGCAACGAAAGCTAATCGACATGTTTTAATAATTTAACCAAACCTGTTTGAAAGAAAATATGCTGCCTAAATATACACAATATATATATATATAAACAATCAAGGAAAATCTTTTTACCTCATGTATGGAAAAGTCTATTTCGGCAGACGATAAAAATGATCGTCTGTCTTCTCAACCCAGATATGAAATGGAATTCACGTCTGTAGAATTTGAAGATGCAGGAAGTAAAAGTTAACTATACAGGAAGTAATACTGGAAAGTGCCAACCTAAAATTTCACATGCCAAAAAAAACCTAAATCAGAGTTCAGACTTTTCGATGTATAAATCAGACGATAAGCAACAGACAAGGAACAGGGAAGGCGGTAAGTGGTAAATATCTATCTTAAAGGGAAGAATGCGTATTGAATAACAATGTCAGAGAATATTAACCCTATAAAACCTACAATCTAAAAACACAAAAAACTCCACCGTGCAGTAAATTCCTAGATCCCCTTGATAGAGACCTGTCTAAACGAGTTAAAAAAATGAAATTCAGAAAGCCATCCAACCAATTCCAAGAAAATTTAAAGACATCTGGGTGGGAGCTGACAAATCCAAAAACATCTATGGATGTAGCCCTTGACATTACCATAAAATTCTTACTAACAAAACAACAGACACTTATAAACTAGATAGGTATAACAGAACGATCTCCGACATAGACCAAGAAACTGCCAATTTCGCAAATAATTTAAACATTGCAGATAGAGTTGGAAAAAATCCATACCAAAGATGCTTAATTATTATTTAAGGATCATAAACCTAACTTCGCTAATAACCTACAGTCTAGATTAATAAATCCAACAAAAACTGAACTAGGTCAAATTTAAAAAAATATAATAAAAAAATAACCGATAAATTACTAGTTACACCCTGGAAGGATTCATCTGACACGATTAAATGCTTTATCAATATTTAAAATAAGGAGAAAGCTACCTTTATCAAATTTTATATAGATTTCTACTCATCTATCTCCATCGATCTTTTGGTAAATTGCATTATCTTTAAAAAAAAAAAAACTATGTGGAGATCACTGATATAAATAATAAACATCATTCTAACAGCTAGAAAATTACATCTAACTCTTGTCCACCTCGGCAAAATGTCATAATGACAACTTTGATGTCCCTATGGGTGCATATGATTCAGCCCAGGTTGTTGATTTAGTATGTATTTACATTTTAGATACCCTTAGTAGAATAGTAGATTCCAAACAAATAGGTTTATACAGAAATGGACTCATGTTCGTCCCCAATAATAATGGTTCACTAACCTCGAAAATCCATAAGAAAATTATTAGGGCTTTCAAATTACTAGGATTTAAAATTGAGATTTGAAAAACCAATAAAGTTTTTGCTCTATATCAGTACTTGTTACAAAAGAAAATCTACACACACACACATATCTGACAATATTTCTGAGATGGGATATTGCAATTATTTTCATTGTTTGGAGTTTTGTCCTCATCTTTATTGACATATTCACGACATTTCGACTGTTGTTGTCAGGTGATTGGAATTTCTTCCGTCGGTTCATACTTTTCTAGTTCCACGTGCCATGCCTCTTCTGGATGTCTCAGTTATCTCCCTTTAACTCAACACCCCAAATTTTTATTCACTCAGTTATTGAACTAACAACTCCTTGAGTCAAGTCACTGGATCCAACCAACGCTTTTATCCACTGGTCCATGAGACAGATCCTGAGAACATCAGTGTATGAATTTTGGTGACTTATAAACTTAATGTCTCAGTAACCATGTTTTTACCATAGCTGATAATGCAATTTCGTTGTTATTACTGCTTTTCTCAAACACTCCGTATGCTGGTTCCTGTATTATATTCATTTCTCTTATTGGTCAGCTTAGGAGATTTTTGTGGCCTAGCATATATGCTGATTTATAAATTTTTTAGATTTTCCAGTGATACTCTCTATTATTTCAACCTCATCCCACGGGGGTGGGGGTGATTTACCTCCTACATCTGAGTTTTCTATTTTCCCTCGTGTTACGACTTTACGATGTTCTTGCAGTCTTTACTTAAGGGGGCGGCCTGTTTCTTCTTTATATTTCTTACCACAGCTGCACGGAATGGCGTACACACAATTCTTAGTCAGGTTCTTCTCTATGGAGAGGTCTTACTCGGAAGAGGTGTCTGCGATATGGCAATAAAGACGAGGACAACAATCCGAACAATATATATATATATATATATATATATATATATATATTGAAATCGGCTAAGTCTGACAATTATTTTAATATGTTTTCTGTTTATACATTATTTTTATGGATACAAATATTTAAGTAAATGCTCTGTTTATAATAAACAGTATTAGCTACATTTACCGGCCTGAATGTCCGAGAAATTTCATAGAAAATATGTGACCTCCAACATGGGAAATTGTTGTTTAAAAACAATAATTTGATTCTGCTAACCAGACGCTTCCACTGTACCTAAATGGTATAGCACGTCAGGCCAAATGACGATTCCGTGTAGGATACAGGTTCGATTTTATAACATTTATAACATATAAACATATATATATATATATATATATATATATATATATATATATATATATATATATATATATATATAGTTTTCATTATTGCATTAATATGATTATTCAAAATGTTCAATCATTAAATTTTTTCAATAAATGTTACAGATTGGCGAATTAGTGACAGTCATGGGTAAGGGAAAAGTGGGAAGACCTCGACGAGATCCCCTGACTGGTCTTCTTTTGGACAATCACCTCAAGACTTCAGATGTTTCCAAGGAGGTATGTATCATTATTTATGTACGTTGCCCGTTGAGGACATGGGTAATTATATATCTCCACAACTTCCTGTTTCTTGTAGCTCTAATCAATCATTGAATCTTTATTATCCCTTCTTGTCTATGATCTGTCATTCATTCACACAAACTCATTCACTGTTTTCTTCTACTCCTCCTTCCCCAAATACATCCTGTGGATATAAAGATTTGTAAGCTGTCCTATTGTATTTTTTTAAGCATTTCATCCCAGGCAAGGCGTGGGTAACATTAGTAAGCAAGGGGTTACAGAGAGTGAAGGTAAGATAAAAAAAAAACTGGGTATAGGAGAATCAATGTATCAGAAGATGAGGATTGATGTTACATTTACATTTTTGAAGATTAGTTATCAGGAGAGCATGTAAGAGGAAAGGAGTTCCACCGCTGGGAAGAGCAAGAGAAGAAGCTGTTGGAGTAGAAGAGGTGGTTACATTTAACTGTTTCAACAGTAAAAGAGTGGATCCTAGATGCCAACCTAGTAGCAAGCTTAAATTCATGCAGTTGAGGCACCAGAGAAAAAAGCCGGTCAAAGCAGTTGCCATGAAAATATTTGTAGAAAAGACAAAGGGAAGTCAGATCTTCTGTGAGAAAGCGACTGGAGTCGAGGTGCCAAGTTAGGACCGATCAAATTGCAGATCCTACTTTAGTATATGTCTCCGAAAGTTCAACTGTCATTGATTTTAAGTGTGAGTGTCTTTCTAGTTTCCATTTTTAAAACTTCTACGTTACTCAGATGTTCATTTCATCTCTGTCGCTTCATGTGTCTTTTTATCTATGCTGAACTGATATGTAATATCTGTCACCTTGTATGTAATATCTGTCACCTTATATAGCAATGAATGTTGGACATAATAACAGAGGGATGCTGAAAATTCCATGAACTGAACACTTGAGTAACAAGGAAGTTCTACAGAAAATGGGAACTAAAAAAAAACACTTCTATCTAAAATTAGAAAGAGACAATTTAAATTTCTAGACAATCTAATAAAGACAGAGACCTTCAAAAATTTAATGCTCACAGGATATATTAAACACAAGAGGAGTAGAGTGAAACAGCGAGTAAGGTACTAATTTATGCGAACGGATAGCAAAGATGGGCGATAAAGAGTTAAGGCTTACTTAAAGTTACAAGGGACAAGAAGTTGTGAAGGGCCATAATCACCCATGTCCTGATGGAACACGGTAAATCTTAGAATATTAGTAATATTAAAACGTGTCATTTTTTAAAATCTAAGATTAAATTTTAATATATTTTTTAATAATTTTATTTTTTTAAAATTCATTTCACCCCAAGAAAGGCAATAAAGTTACTAAGACACAGGGGGTTACAGAGTGTGAAAGAATAGAAGAAAAGTTGAAATATTATTAAGGAGCGAGAACAATAAAAGAAGAAGACAATCCTCTGTATAGAACTTGAAGCTTTAAACCTAATCTGCTTGCTGATGAGATTGCTGCTTCTTGTCTAATCTTGCTGCTACTGTCAGTGCTGTTAAAGCCTTGCTGTCATTTCTCAGTGGAAATGGGGTGAACAATAGCAGTACTAAGTCGGAAGTAACGAGATATCTCTAAATATGATAAACGCAAGAACAATTTACACCGTAGATTAAATAAATGTTCAATTCGAAATTCCCTGAAAGATACCTGGATTGCCAAATATCTGATGAAGACCGGAAGGTACGACAACCAAAACGACAATGACAATAATTCACATGTAAACAAACGATTACTTATCATCACAGAAATTCAGACAGAATATCTGTTATGGGACATTACCCATAATAATAATAATGGACTATTCCATACTTAATAAATACTGCGCCTCAGGAGTAGGCAAGGGAGTCAGTCGTTCACTTTCTGAGCGACTGTTCGGTTCAACTCTCTTCCTACGGGCGAGAGGAACCCGAAGGAGGCTACGCCGAAGGGCGGAGTCTCCTTCGGGGAGGTTAAACCGGCCCAGAACCCGTTTATGCGGGTTCAAATGGGCTATTTTTTGGCCGAGCCTAATGGCTCGGGAATGCCCACGTTAAAAAGGCCTTGTGCCACATGACACCCTCGTGGGGGGGTGACTGAATATTGTCAGTCGTTCACTTTCTGAGCGACTGTTCGGTTGAACTCTCTTCCTACGGGCGGGAGGAACCCGAAGGAGGCTACGCCGAAGGGCGGAGTCTCCTTCGGGGAGGTAAAACCGGCCCTGAACCCGTTTATACGGGTTCAAATGGGCTATTTTTTGGCCGAGCCTAATGGCTCGGGAATGCCCACGTTAAAAAGGCCTTGTGCCACATGACACCCTCGTGGGGGGGTGACTGAATATTGTCAGTCGTTCACTTTCTGAGCGACTGTTCGGTTCAACTCTCTTCCTACGGGCGAGAGGAACCCGAAGGAGGCTACGCCGAAGGGCGGAGTCTCCTCGGGGAGGTAAACCGGCCCAGAACCCGTTTATGCGGGTTCAAATGGGCTATTTTTTGGCCGAGCCTAATGGCTCGGGAATGCCCACGTTAAAAGGCCTTGTGCCACATGACACCCTCGTGGGGGTGACTGAATATTGTCAGTCGTTCACTTTCTGAGCGACTGTTCGGTTAAACTCTCTTCCTACGGGCGGGAGGAACCCGAAGGAGGCTACGCCGAAGGGCGGAGTCTCCTTCGGGGAGGTAAAACCGGCCCTGAACCCGTTTATACGGGTTCAAATGGGCTATTTTTGGCCGAGCCTAATGGCTCGGGAATGCCCACGTTAAAAAGGCCTTGTGCCACATGACACCCTCGTGGGGGGTGACTGAATATTGTCAGTCGTTCAATTTTGAGCGACTGTTCGGTTCAACTCTCTTCCTACGGGCGGGAGGAACCCGAAGGAGGCTACGCCGAAGGGCGGAGTCTCCTTCGGGGAGGTTAAAACCGGCCCAGAACCCGTTTATACGGGTTCAAATGGGCTATTTTTTGGCCGGGCCTAATGGCTCGGGAATGCCCACGTTAAAAAGGCCTTGTGCCACATGACACCCTCGTGGGGGTGACTGAATATTGTCAGTCGTTCACTTTCTGAACTGACTGTTCGGTTCAACTCTCTTCCTACGGGCGGGAGGAACCCGAAGGAGGCTACGCCGAAGGGCGGAGTCTCCTTCGGGGAGGTAAAACCGGCCCTGAACCCGTTTATACGGGTTCAAATGGGCTATTTTTGGCCGAGCCTAATGGCTCGGGAATGCCCACGTTAAAAAGGCCTTGTGCCACATGACACCCTCGTGGGGGGTGACTGAATATTGTCAGTCGTTCACTTCTGAGCGACTGTTCGGTTCAACTCTCTTCCTACGGGCGGGAGGAACCCGAAGGAGGCTACGCCGAAGGGCGGTGTCTCTTTCGGGGAGGTAAAACCGGCCCAGAACCTGTTTATACGGGTTCAAATGGGCTTTTTTTGGCCGAGCCTAATGGCTCGGGAATGCCCACGTTAAAAGGCCTTGTGCCACATGACACCCTCGTGGGGGGTGACTGAATATTGTCAGTCGTTCGTTTTTTGAACCGACTGTTCGGTTAAACTCTCTTCCTACGGGCGGGAGGAACCCGAAGGAGGCTACGCCGAAGGGCGGAGTCTCCTTCGGGGAGGTTAAACCGGCCCAGAACCCGTTTATACGGGTTCAGATGGGCTATTTTTTGGCCGAGCCTAATGGCTTGGGAATGCCCACGTTAAAAAGGCCTTGTGCCACATGACACCCTCGTCGTGGGGGGTGACTGAATATCGTCAGTCGTTCACTTTTTGAACCGACTGTTCGGTTAAACTCTCTTCCTACGGGCGGGAGGAACCCGAAGGAGGCTACGCCGAAGGGCGGAGTCTCCTTCGGGGGAGGTTAAACTCGGCCCAGAACCCGTTTATACGGGTTCAAATGGGCTATTTTTTTGGCCGAGCCTAATGGCTCGGGAATGCCCACGTTAAAAAGGCCTTGTGCCACATGACACCCTCGTGGGGGGTGACTGAATATTGTCAGTCGTTCACTTTTTGAACCGACTGTTCGGTTAAACTCTCTTCCTACGGGCGGAGGAACCCGAAGGAGGCTACGCCGAAGGGCGGAGTCTCCTTCGGGGAGGTTAAACCGGCCCAGAACCCGTTTATACGGGTTCAAATGGGCTATTTTTGGCCGAGCCTAATGGCTCGGGAATGCCCACGTTAAAAAAGGCCTTGTGCCACATGACACCCTCGTGGGGGGTGACTGAATATTGTCAGTCGTTCACTTTCTGAAGCGACTGTTCGGTTCAACTCTCTTCCTACGGGCGGGAGGAACCCGAAGGAGGCTACGCCGAAGGGCGGAGTCTCCTTCGGGAGGTTAAACCGGCCCTGAACCCGTTTATACGGGTTCAAATGGGCTATTTTTTTTGGCCGAGCCTAATGGCTCGGGAATGCCCACGTTAAAAAGGCCTTGTGCCACATGACACCCTCGGGGGGGTGACTGAAATTATTGTCAGTCGTTCACTTTCTGAACTGACTGTTCGGTTCAACTCTCTTCCTACGGGCGGGAGGAACCCGAAGGAGGCTACGCCGAAGGGCGGAGTCTCCTTCGGGGAGGTAAAACCGGCCCAGAACCCGTTTATACGGGGTCAAATGGGCTATTTTTTGGCCGAGCCTAATGGCTCGGGAATGCCCATGTTAAAAAGGCCTTGTGCCACATGACACCCCTCGTGGGGGGATGACTGAATATCGTCAGTCGTTCACTTTCTGAACGACTGTTCGGTTCAACTCTCTTCCTACGGGCGGAGGAACCCGAAGGAGGCTACGCCGAAGGGCGGAGTCTCCTTCGGGAGGTAAAACTGGCCCAGAACCCGTTTATACGGGTTCAAATGGGCTATTTTTTTTGGCCGAGCCTAATGGCTCGGGAATGCCCACGTTAAAAAGGCCTTGTGCCACATGACACCCTCGTGGGGGGTGACTGAATATCGTCAGTCGTTCACTTTCTGAAGCGACTGTTCGGTTAAACTCTCTTCCTACGGACG